AATACATACATACATTATACAACCAAGAATGAATGAATGAAATGCATGGGAGAATGTTTGCCATTTGGAACTAACAGAATGCATCTTTTATTGAAAGCAAGAAAAAACAAACAGCTTAACCCTTTACATAAAAGCACCTATTGCCCCAGGGTATGAACAACAGGGAGAAAGTTCCAGTGCATTACTCTATAACAAATTTGTAAACTACAAGCAGTTCTTCCGCGGTCCAATTGTTCAACACGAAGCCCGGCGGTGCAAGATAAATGCCCATAGCTCTCATTTCCTCAAACTCATCATCAGTTATAACATTAATGCCTAAATCTCCTAAGGTGTTCTCAACCATCACTTCATTATTCCTTGAATTCCCTTGAAACATATGCCCCCCAGATATGAAAATACTACTCAACAGCGGAAAGGTCATGGGTTCCCAGCTAAGGTCTTCACCAGCTAATCTGGCCTTTTTCATTTCCTGACCTTTCTTAATTCCCCTCAGCTTATCCCTCAGAGTTGGCTGATACCCCAAACCAAACTGATCTCTTTTAATAACAGGGCATATTGGATTCACCGGTCCTTGTAGCTGACTTCCTAACCCTTTCTCAACTTTTGCTCCTCTTCCAAGGGTCAGCTTAAGTCCCATCTCAGTATAATTTGATAATCGAGATTTTGGTATCTTCCTGCCTTTAGCCACAAACGTAGCATTGACAAACTCCAACGATCTGAAAGAACACTCGACCGCTTGCTTATCCACTTCAATATATGGAGCAGTAATAGAAACAGAAACAATAATGTCCTCTTCAGCATGAATACATACCAACCTTCCATCAATCATAAATTTTAGTCTCTGGTGCAATGTGGACGGAACTGCACCGGCCTGATAAATCCAAGGCCTTCCTAACAAACAGTTATACGTAGACATAATGTCCATTACGAGAAATTCAACTTAATAAGTTGTTGGACCAATAGTTAGAGGAACATAAATCTTGTCCAACACTTCTCTTTTAGTCCCATCGAAAGCTCGAACCACACTTTGGCAGGTTCTCATAAGTGTACTATCTAATGGAAGTTTCTTCAGAGTCACTAAGGGCATCACATTCAAAGCCGAACCATTATCAACCAAAACCCGGGACAACACATGCCCTTTACACTTAACTGTGATATGCAAAGCCTTCTGACTACCAATCATCCCAGAAGAGATCTCATCCTCATAAAAAGATAAAAAATTATCAGCTTGTATATTGGAAACTAACTGGTCCAACTTTTCAATGGGCAACACTTTCAGAACAAAAGTCTGGTTCAAAACCCTTAATAGAGCATTATTATGGGCCTCTGAACTCAAAAGTAATGATAAAACAGAAATACGGGCAGGCAACTTGTGTAACTGTTCCACAACACTGTACTCACTGTGCTTCAAAAATTTTACCGCTTCACTCTCGGTTACTGGTTCATTGATAACATGCTCATCTTCTTTTATCTGAATATCAACCTTTTTCCCCTTATCAACCGCAACCTTCTTCTCAGACTTTTTAGGTGGATTAAGAGAATAACACCTACCACTTCTGGTAAAGTGTCCCACCTCATATACTTCCTCATTCTCTTTTGTTACATCTCCCATCTTGCAATCATATCTCCAAGGCACTTGTTTATTATCCCAATATGGGAATGGAGATAGAGGTGTAATAACCACTTTCGGAGCTACCTTTTAAGGTAATCGATTCTTGGGAGTAATGATTAGGGGACAACTAGCATTGTAAACCCCTTTAGATGATCCTTCTGAAGCGCAAACTTCTGCTTCCTCTTATTCAACAATCTCTTTAAAGAACTCAATTTCTTTACTGTCCATCATGTCTTGTACCAAAGATAGGAAGTTAGGACATTGCTGAATATTGTGTCCTTCACTATTATGATACTGACATACCTCTCCACTGTTATGTAAATATAATTATTATAATTTTAACATTATTGATTTAGTATTTGTAGTAGAAATGTTAAGATAATTAGATCAACATATTGATTTAGTATTTGTAGTAGAAATGTTAAGATAATTAGATCAACATATTGATTTAGTATTTGTAATATATATGTTAAAACAATATAATTATAGTTGTCGAAACGATTTTTCTTAAAGGTGAAAAAGTGAGATTTTGAAATAACCACATTAATTCTTAATTATCTCTTTTTAATTTAAAAATAAATGTGATTTAAAAGACCTCTCGTTTCGAAAAAAATTTGGATTTCCTTTACGATCGAAAAATACGGTTCGAATTAAGTGGTATCTATGTAATTTTCCTAAAATACTAATCCTAAATGTTTAAGGACTAAAAAGTAACATAAAAAAATTTGAGTTCAAATGTCTAAAACAATAAAAGTTAGATACAACAATACTACTTGGGACCGAAATTAAATGCAGGTAAAATAAAGGGACAAAATTAAATACATGAAAACATTCGATTAGGGACTAAAATGAATTTAGAAGAAAACTCAAATGAACAGTAGCTCAAATAATCCAAAAATTTGAACAACCTAAATCTGTAAAATAACAAAATCAGGACAAACTTAAAATGTCAAATTTCCAAAAACATACTTTAAAAATGACGGAAATGCAAAGAAAACTAAACTTAAGAGGACTAAAACCTAATTTACCCAAAAAAATTAATATGTAACCTAACTAAAAAAAACCTTAATTAACTTACTAAACCTAAACACCCATTTAGCCTTCTCACACTTCACTATTCACTCTCCCCTCTCTTCCACTCACGAATGCATGACCAGCGGCGCCCCTTACCCAAAAAAGTTCGACCACCAATTGGCCACCCAAGCATGGTCACCACGTAGAACGCTACAAACCGGCACTACTGCATACTCTGACAGTCTTCAAAAGCCAAGGTAAGCGACCCTAACTTTCTATTCCCATTTTCTGGTTCGAAATTATATTACGAAAAAGCCTTTGAAAATGAAAAATGGACTTCTCTTTGATTTTATTTCTTGTGTGAATCGGATATGGGTAAGAAAATTGATTGTATTGCTTTATTTCTTTTCAAAAACAGAAAAAGTGAGAAATGCTTAGTTCTTTCTTTTATTACTCTATATTTATCTTGAATGGGGACTTACTGAAGAAAGATGGATGCTTAAAGGCCTACTCAAATTGTTTCCACATCCACCCTTAATTTTCAGTTTTAAAATAACAATCGCACACATACAAACAAACAAACAAAAATTACAAACTGAAAAATAAAATAAATTGAAGAAGATTTCCTCAGAAAAACACACCTTTATTGCTTTATCTGTTTTTGAATTATAAGATTACACTATTGTTTTCTTTCGTATTCTGTTTACAATGTGGAATTGCTGATAGTTAATCGGGTTCTTTGCTTCTCCTCCTTTCGTGTAAACTCCTTTTCCCTTTTTTTCTATGATGCTTGATAATCTCTCGAATGATTCCCCCCTCCGTTCTTACTGTGTGTCTTTTTTTTCTATGTCTGGTCCTCTCTCGTTTTTTGCTATGTGTTCTCTCCTTTTTTTTCATTTTTTGTTTGTGATTTTTTTCTCTCTCCTCTTTCTGATGATGAGTGGTTATTTTATTAAAACTGACCCTCCACGTAAAAAAACTGCTCATTTCAATTTTTATCACCCCGAAGAAAAAATAAAAAATGGCCTCCTCGTTTTTTCTGGTTTTTTAACCCCCAAAATTGTTTTCATTTGCAAGTGATATATGTGCCCCGGACAAATCAAGCATCTACAATAGTGTCAAAAAATAATATTTATTATAATAAATTCAATAGTATTTATTATAATTAATAATTTTTTAATTATATTTATTATAATTTAATCATAAGTAGTTATAAAATATTTGAAATAAAGATACAACATTCTTATTTTAATTGATAAAAATATTGTTAATATATTTACATTTTTTGCAAGGTTTAATAAATTTAATTTTTATCTTACGAATCATTAGTATAATTTGATATGTAATATCAAAATAAATAATATAATTAATTTATATTTCAAATAAAAATTAAAAATGAAACAATAAAATTTACACTAAATTTATCAAATCGCTTACCAGACCACTCAAATATCAATTCTTTCTTCATTTGTTCAAACTTTTTTTACCCTTTTTATTTTTTTATTTTCACCCGCAAATGCTCTTTTTCTCTCGGCCTCACTCTCCTCCCCTCTTCCTGCATCCCAAAATCCAACTCCCCCCATTTTATAACATAAACTGGTGCTCCATTATTAGTATAATAATGGCAACATTATTACTCACATTCCCCACGTCATGCAACAACTTTGCTTCAGAGTTAGTGTTGCAGTCGAAGTAAAGCGGAAGACACCGCGTATTTTCGAGTGCTTTTGTATGGACTGAAGATGTCGTGCACTCCACGTGTCTCTCCTAGACCTGAAAACGTAGTACATTCCCGGAGTCTTTATGTTTGGCCTGAATACGTCAAGTAACCATGAAATCTTTTTATGGACTGAAGTAAAGCCGAAGATATCGCGTATTCCCGAGTGCTTCTGTATGGATTGAAGATGTCGTGCACTCCACGTGTCTCTCTTAGATTTGAAAACGCCGTGCATTCCCGAAGTCTTTACGTTTAACCTAAAGACGTCAAGCAATCATAAAATCTTTATATTGTTACAGTAAATTTTACCTTAGATTGAAAAATAATTGTGGATGTACTTATATTGGGGGGGAATTCCTACTACAATTATCTCAGCCATCTCCCCGTATAGGCATTTTTGGTGCAAAATTAGTTAATTGATTAACTAATTAATTAATATAACATCTCTGTCATCTTCTATAAATAACGATTGTGTTGTTCCATTATCTTCCACTCATCACTCTGTGGCTAAATAGCCATACATTTTCTTTTGCCTTTTCATGGCTTTATCCAACTAATTGTATTCCAAATTCTCAAATCATATCTTTTTTTTACAGGAAGGAGCGAGTCTCCTTTGTTGGATTATCGTTACAAATCCAAGAATCTTCTTAATTTTTCCTTGGGTTTAAGCTGGTTTGCCCAGATTCAGTATTCTTCACAAATTTTCTCCCGAAAATTGTTGTTTGACCATGGTTTGTTTGGTTTCTCGAACGGGAAGGCACTTGCAGCGATACGATAGCCTCGGCCGCCGCCAAGTTGTCGGGTGAGTGGGTCGTCCTGTTTGGGACTTACGGTCTTTTTCACGATGAGGATTTTTTCTGAAATTCCTTTGGGCTGGAAGGATTTGTTCTTTGAATTAGGGGCTTTGATTTGTCTCTTTAGAAAACCTAATAAATTCATAGTTTCCATGAAAACGGCTCATTATTTTCTTCGATTTTGATGATTTTCCAGGTGCATCCCGTACAGATACAAAGGTAACAATGATGGAACATTGAACAGTGAGTTGGAGGTTCTTGTAATCTCCTCACAAAAATGCCAGAAAATGATGTTCCCTAAGGTATTACTCCTTATTTTTAGAAGAAGAAACTACAATTAATCTTATATATTAACCCTTGCTCTTAATCATCAGGGTGGTTGGGAACTTGATGAATCTAGAGAAGAAGCTGCTTTAAGAGAGTCAATCGAAGAAGCTGGTGTCATAGGCAAGGTTGAGGTTCGTATCAAATTTAGCTGCTAAACCCTGTTCTCAAATTTGTTCATCATAATTAAAGGAACCCTAAACTTAAACCCTGAAAACACAGTGCGAACTGGGCAAATGGGACTTTTTGAGCAAACGCCATGGCACATTCTATGAAGGGTACATGTTCCCTTTGCTTGTCAAGGAGGAACTTGCTTTCTGGCCGGAGCAAAATCTCCGAAAACGAACTTGGGTAAGCTATTCACATCCGAAGATGCGATCGATACGGTTACGTTTGAATTCGATTTCTCGTATTCGAATATGTGTCGGCCATAGATATCTCAATCTCGTTAAACATTTTGTTTAGATGAATGTGAAAGAAGCAAGGGCTGTGTGCCAACATTGGTGGATGAAGGAGGCCTTAGACGTACTGGTTGAAAGGCTGGGGTCCCTGCAGCAACAAAATATCACAAGTTGTTTGTAGATAGGGGCATTTTTAGCCACTTATGATTACTTGGGCTTTGGGATAAGGTTAATGTGTGGAGCACGGGTATATTTCGAATTTTTTGAAATCTGGTGGAATACCCAGATTTTTGTACTCACTCTCCAATTTGTGCTCGTCTTTGTTAGATGTATTAGCAATTCATATGGAAAGATCTAATGAATTATGAACTAGGATCTACTTCAAGTCTTGTCCTGTGTAAATCAGGTTTCAGATCTTAGTTCAAGTTTTAATCCTGCGTAAATCAGTTGCTTTTTTTTTCAAATTTGTTTTTGTTTATGTCCAAAAGTATGTTGATTATTTACAGGTAAATTGCATGATTAATTTTTTACTTTTGACTTGTTTTATTTTAGGGTAAATTATAAATTTTATCGTAAACTTTACTCTCTCTCTTATTTTACTTATTAAATTTTAAAAGTTTTCAATTTTCTTATTAAATTTAATATATTAGTTATTTTGTCACTCCATTATTAAATATTTAATGGTGTTAAAACGACTTCATGTCATGAATGGGGAGAAGAGATTAGAATCGAAGGAAGGAAATTGAGAATTTCCATAGAAGGTAGAAGGGAATTAGGGATTGCTGAAAAAGGGGAAATGAATTAGGATTTCAATTCGTGAATTGGGGGTCAGTGGGTACAATGGTGGACTTGAGGCACGTGAGAAGCTTACGGGGATGAATGGATAAAAGAGGCTGATCCGAGATTTACTGTAGTGAACCCAGCAAAGGAGTAAGCCCATCATAGCTGCCACCTACACTATAAGACTGTCAATTAGTTATCAAGGCGACCAACTGTCAAATCTAGGGATGGGCACTCAGTCCGAATCAGATTGATTTTAACCCGATCGGATCAGTTTTTTTTTAAAAAGAAATCGAAGTTGGGTCGGATTCGGATTTAGGGTAAAAAATACCTAATCAGACCTGAAATATATATATAATTTTATCTTATATATTTATGAATAATTATAATAATACACCTCTATATATAATTTTTTTCAATTAAGACTATTTTTATTGAATAAAAATATTTTTTATTTTAGGTCGGGTTTCTAAGTCATATATTCGGGTCGGTCTCGGGTAGAACTTTCCTTGTTCTCGGATCAGATCGGGTGGATCAAAAACCCAACACATACTCATCCCTAATCAAATCTAGCCAGAAAATAGTAAATGTAATAAAAAAACCTGATACTGAATATGGAAAATTATCTAAATATTAAATGAAAGCTCTCTTTCTTCTATAAAGCGATGCCGTTTTATATTTATATAAAAATCTAATTATAATACCGATATTGAGGGAACGGTTGAATAAAAAGAATTCAATGTATTAAGTTTAATAAGAAAATTAAAAAGATTTAAAGTAAAATAAATGAAACATGAAATACTAAAATTCTGCTATCAAATTTGTAATTTATCCTTTATTTTAATAATAAGTTTTTAAGATTGAAGGTAGAAAAGAATTTAAATAAAAAAAACTTAACCTCTATTTTATTTATTGGTTCATGGTTAAACTTCAGATAATACGAGTGGGAATCATTCCCAAGTTCTTCTCCCATAAACTACCTTACCTTAATTTATATTCCGCGTTTTATTAATTTAACATCACTTTCAATCAAGTAGTGTTATTTTCCTATAGTTTATTATTAATATTTATCATTATATCAAATTTAATTATAATATAGTTTAGGTTCTCTATGTTTGTCTTCCCCATGACTGAAGGAAACTAAAGTAGTGTTATTTTCCTATAATTTATTATTAATATTTATTTTAATTTTTTGTCAATAATATTAATAAGAAATTGTACGTGGAAACCGTGTTGGAGAGATGCCTGTGGCTTTTCTAGACAAAGTGTCCGCTTTTTATTTCTGCAAAGTGAAAGCAACCGCCAGAACGCCTTCCTCGCTCATGTAAGGCGTTAACAAAAAAAATTCTCCATATAAGGTTATATCTAAATTATTTTTTGAAATAGGGTATTTGCTACACTAATTTTATAGGTCAAGTGTTTCATAGGTCGTCAAATGTTCCTTGCAACAAAGTCTCATTTGTTACAACAATTATTCTCTCTTTCCTCGTTATTGTAGCTCCATAAGTCGTCGTGTGCTCCTGGAGATCTTTGGAGATTTCTATGTGTTCCTAGAGACATATGGTGGTTACCGTAACAATTACCCTATTTAAGCAAATAATTGATCATCTTGTGTTTCACATTTAATACTTTTTATTAAATATTATATTCTTAAATTAAATATTAAGATTTATTTTTGTGATAATATTGAGTATTCTTGGTCACTAGAATAAATAATTTCATTATATAATATTATAATCTTTTTAGATTTTATTCTGACTTTATATGTTTAAAATATTTCTTAATTATTAATGATACACAAATCTTATAAAATATAAGGGTTCTAATTTGAGTTCTTTAATAAGAATAACACACTATCTTTTTACGACCGAAATTATTTGATAAGTTTAAATTATTGTATGTTTTTAGATATATTATTTATAATTATTATTGCATCTTATATTTATAAATTAAATTTAAAAATAGGAAGAAAGTCAAAATCTTTTATTTTTAATTTATTGCATCCAAGAAGCTATTAGAACATAAGGTAAGCCAAAGCACCAAACCCTACACAAGTTGACGTTAACCAGGACCGTCGGTCTTGATTGCAATTATAGTTGCAAAGAACAAAGGAAAAAGGAAAAGCTAAAGAATCAAGATTATTCCCAGTTAACAACCTTTTCTTTTTATAAATATAAAAAAGATCATCTTCTCCCCATCTCCTTCGTTTGTACGTCTTCAGAAATGGCTTCTTCGTTGCCATCCAGAGATTTTCAAGAGGGTATGTATGCATACATACTGCAAATCTTTTCTTTTACTGAACTTCCATAACTATAAGAGAACCTTTGATATGCAGGAGCTGTTGATCGTGAGCCTGAAAACGTTCTGCAAAAACATGTTGCGTTCTTCGACAGGAACCACGATGGCCTTGTTTATCCATGGGAGACTTTTGCAGGTATTTCTTCCATTAATTCTGAGAGAGAACTGCTGCTGGCTAATTAAATTCTGGGTTTTTTTAGGGTTTCGAGCAATTGGGGCTGGTTATTTGCTGTCATTGATCAGTTCTTTCTTCATCAATTTTGCTCTCAGTCGCAAAACTCGCCCAGTAAAGATCTCATCATTTCTTTTATATGATATTAAACTATCAGTTTGCAATGATATATTCATATATGTTGAGCCTTTGCATGTAGGACAAACCTCTCTCTCTTGGTTCGCTTATGTTTCCGATCGAGATTAAGAATATCCAGTTTGCAAAACATGGGAGCGATTCTGGTGTATATGATACTGAAGGGAGGTACGTAAATCAAAATACATAATTTTAACAAATTACTTTATGCATATCTAATTCTAAAATTATATATATATATATATATATATATATATGTATATGTATGCATGATAGGTTTGTCCCTTCCAAGTTCGAACAGATCTTCACCAAATTCGCTATTACTCATACCGATGCATTGACATCAGATGAACTATCTGCAATGCTCAAGGCCAACAGGGAACCCCATGATTACAAAGGATGGTAAATCCCTACGTATTCATATATTTTGTATGTATGTATGTATGTATGTATGTAGTAATTAGTAGTATTGTACAAAATTGAACTGGCAGGGTTGCTAGCTGGACGGAGTGGAAGACTTTATACTTGTTGTGCAAAGACGATCAAGGATTGTTGAGGAAGGAAACGATCAGAGCTGTTTATGATGGAAGCTTGTTTGAACAAATGGAGAGGGAGAGATCAGCCGCTGCGAAAAAGAAAGAGTAATTAATTAACCAACTACCATGCTTTTTTACATTGATTAATTAGCAAAAGGGTTTAGATATTTGTGATTTTATTATGAATTCTTCGGTGTATTTGGTTTGAGGATTGGAATCCGTAAATTAATCGTTTGAAGCAATAACTTTCGATTCATAGTTAGATATGAGTATATGAAAGTGATTCATAGTAATAAAAATTCAGGTAAATTACCCGTTTAGTATTTAAACAATCAATTTTGGTATATTTAAGTTCCTCAACTTTTATTTTTTTCAAAACCATAAATAAAGTTTAGTTTTTGTTTCATTAATTTTAGTATCCATTAAAAATTTGACGTTAAGTTTTAATTTTTTTTTGAAAGTTTAAGTATTAAAACAAACCAAAACTAATATTTTATATATTAAACATGTCAAGTTTTTAACAATAAAGTACTAAAATAAAATAAGAACTAAACTTTTAGGATCTAATTTTAAAAAACGATAGTTTAGACACTAAAGTCGTAGTTTACCCTAAAAGTTCACTCATGTTCCGATCCCACATGAATAATTTTTTTTCATGCCCGGTTGACATTTGTAAAGAAGCATAATTTGAGTGGAGAACATGATAAGAGTTGAAGTTTACATTTTACATCACATAATTGAAATAGGTGGTGTCCTTTCATGTTAAAAATATTTTGATGTTTTGATATAACAAATTAAGTATAAATAAATTTTAAGATTTTACAAATGATTTTTTTAATATATTCGATTTAATTATTCGTATATCAAAATATTACTCCTAGTCTTTTAAAGATTTATTTTAATCCATATTAAAGTGTAAAATTGTGTTTTAATCTTAAGTGTATTATTCTTGAGTGTTCTTTCTTTGTTCTAGAATTGTGCAAACATCTTGCATTGTGAGGATTTTCTTGTAAGTTTGTAAAATTTGTATTGTTCTCTTTGGGAGAGAGTGTTCTCAAGAATTTGGGGTATAATTCTTGAGGGATTTGTAAGGTTACTCTTTGTCCTCAAAAGAAAGACAAATTAGTGAATTTGTGGAAAATCCTTAGTGCAGATAGCTAAGGTAGTAGACGAAGATTTTGGTTGAGAAAATCGAACCACTCTAAATCGGTGTGCAAATATTTTCAATTTTCTACAAAAACATCAACTAAATTTTTAATTGTCAATTCACCCTTTCTTAGCTATATTTGTCGATTAACTCAACACTTCATAAGTTGCAATCAATCAGGGAAGCCCCAATTCGCACAAAGAATGAAACATGGAAGACAATTATTACGATTTTTATGGTCTATTGTCCAACACTTGGCTATCAAAACAGGCAGTAGGTTCTGTTTCCACCATGGAACGTGAATTTTAGGACAATATCTTAGTCATCTAAACAAATTGAACATTCAGCGAAACGTTCGTGAACTCTTCTATGGGAAATTCGATTATTTATATCTCGTTGTTACGGTGTTTCACTCTATTCGTACCATCTTTAATATTTCACCCTCTTCTTTTCCAATGATCTTTCTTCTTCTTGTGTTTAACAAGTTGCTTAACAATCCAACCTCAGTAGCTAAAAATAGTGTTATTTCCTACAGACGTCTCGGGTTTTAATAACTACATCTACAAGATATGTATTGTACAAATAACTAAAAAAACATTCTAAACATATACGAGGTTGTAATCGCCTAATAAACAATTGTTTGTGGAGTATGATACAATGCACGTTGCCTTCATGCCAACTTTCTTTATGGAAGGTAGGCCTAACGTAGGTGGGTTTAGGATTGGGGAGTTATAAGACAGAATTAACAAAAACAGCAACGCTGAAGGAGTCAGATTGGCTCTTGGGGATGCGTTCTTTTACTTGATGAAAATTTAGTGCCTAAACTTTAAAAAAAAACTCAAAATTAATGTTAAATTTTGAACATAAGTACTAAAATGAAACAAATCAATATGAATCTGAAGAAAATCAAAATTTAGACATTAAAACGGATCCAGACTGATAATTCATGTACTAAACACGTAATTTACCCTATTTTTAATATTACAGAAAAGCAATAATATATTTTGTGGAATCCAAAAAAGATAAAATAAAAGTTCACGCTGACAAAAAGCTTTGTCAAGTAACAACAGCTCAAATTAGGTAAGGAGTCAGGACCACGCACCAAAAATCAGTTTCCCAAACACCCAACCTTTTAATATTTAAATAAAATAAATATTATTTATTTTAAAACGAACCGCCAATATTATCTTTTAAATTTTAAAATCTTTTCCCAAACTTTGCCTTTCCCTCTCATCCATAAGAAACCAATCTTTTTTAGTTTTTTTAGACTCCGATTATTAATCATTAAATTTATTTAAAAAAAGTATTTCCTTAATTTTCTCATAATTTATAAATATCAATCATGCCAGATTAATAAATATTGAAAATATTTAAATTAAATTAATAGAAGTGTAAAGAAAAGAGTCTAAAATAAATCACCAAATTACAGAGTCGCTAAAGCCTCTAATACACACATTACAGCACTTTTCCCTAATACTAACTAAAAATTAATTAAAAGAGCTAAAACGTCAATTAGTAGAGAACTAAACTAAACCAAACCTAAAAAATTTATGGTTAAAAAAAGCTCTAGCTAACGCCGGCTAGTGGAGGAGCAGTGACGACGCCGGGCTTTCTTTTGTTGATTAAGCTTCACAACTTTACTGAGAAACTACCGATGGTTGCACTTTCGGCGGTCGGCCGCGGCCTCGCTTAACACCCGGTGGCGGAGGAGGAGCGGCGGCGGTGGCGGTAGTCTTGGCTTTCTTAGGTGGACGTCCACGTGGCCTTCCAGTGCTCACGGGGGTTTTCGGCTTAGGGGGAGCTGACAAATCCTTGGGCTTGGGCGGACGACCACGTGACCTGGGCGGTGACACGACGGCATCGGGCGGAAGAGGGGACTTGGGTTTCGGTGGACGTCCACGTCCACGCTTGGGTGGGGCAATCGGGTCGGGTTTCATGTAGTTGTTGTTCGACATTACGAGCTCACCGTTCTGTTTCATGAGGTTGAGGTGGTGGGAAAGGAGAGTGGAGTGATTTTCCGGTAGATCCGAGTGAGTCAACTCGATATGTTTCGTGATTGATGCCATGCTCGACCCGTCTTTCTCGCTCAACGCTTCAACGGCTTCCATAATCATCTACCCAGAAAAAATCAGAATGAAAGGAAAAACAAATAAGCTCAAAAGAAATCTCCATAACTAAAAAACTCAAAGAAAAAACAACGAATTGCATGCAAACTACCTGAGGGTAGTCTGGAAGAGAAGATTGTTGAGAAGCATAAATGCCTTGAGTAAGATTACTTTCTTCAGTCGCCATTAAAACACACTAAAACAGTAATTATCTTCAATTTTTTTAATATTTTTTTTATTTTCTGAGAGAATGACGAAGTGAAACTGTGATTTTGTTGATTTTTGATGTGAGATCTTTGGGATTTAAAAGGGAAAAAGCTTTGGGATTGAAGGAAGAGCGGGAAGGAGATGAAGAAGAACATTGGGTATGAGATATAATCCAACGGCGAGGGATAGCTAGTTCGCGGTTTTATCGAACGGTGTTTGTTTATTTCATTCGAGATTACGAGGATTGATGACGTGTTTCTGAATAATTTTCATTTTTTGTTTGTTCCCTCTCTTGAATCATCTGTTATAGTAAATTAAATATAAATTTTAAAAACATTCATTAAATAATTTTTTAAATTTTGAATTCGGACAACTTTTAAAATGAATATTATAATTTATAAGGTAAAGTACAAAAATGATCTTCGACTATATGATATTATTTTATCAAGTCATTTGACTATTAAAAATTATAAAATGGTCTCTCAATTATAGAGAGTGTCTTTGTTTAGTCCCTCAACTATTCATAGTTACAAAATGATAACTCGGCTATTCATTATGTTCTAAACTTGTCCTTTTCCGTTAAAAAATTAACGGTCATCTGAGTTTGACGTTAACATGTTGACCGAGATATGATAGTCGTTTGAGATTATGCGATCATATTTTAGCATATATCAATCAGCATGTTAACGTACAGTTCAAACTATCGTCAAAATTTTGGCGGAAAATTACTAGTTTGGAACATAATGAATAGTCAGTGATAATTTTGTAATTTTTAATAGTCAGTGAACTCAATAAAGAAATATCCCACTTCCCCTCTTTTTTGATTTTGTTTTTGCATGTTTCTCTAATGTGGTTTCATTGTTGGTTTGATCTAGTTTTGTAGGCCTAATAAGGGGTAAGGGTGTAGGTTAAGTTGGCTAAGGGTTTAATATGATTAGTATAAGGGGTAGGCATGATTTTGGTTTAATGTTTAATTGACGTATATGTTCGATAAAGGGAAATGGTGTAATTTAGGTTGGTTCAAGGCTCGACGAGACTAATAAGAGGGGTAGACTGATTTCAGTTTAAGGGTTAATGGAGGTTGATGGGAGACTTGAATGTCAAGGCAGGGATTTGGCTTAATTGAGTGACTAGTTTGTGACTTTTTAACGTTGAGTTGCATATTTATGATCTTACTAGTAATTAGATGATTAGTGGTGCAATTCACCCAATAAGACGATCATTAAAAATGTTTCTTAGTGGCACATTGTAATACTCATTTCATTTTTAATGGGAAAGTGATCTATCCGTAAAAATCAATTAATTAAGTGATTTGTTTGTAACCTTTTGAAATAAAATGTTTAATTTGTAATCTTACTGATAAATGAGTGGCATATGATGTTATTCGCCCTAGATTCTATAATATTTTATCGATATCATGTATTTTAGTATATTGTTTAATATTTACTATAGTATTTTGTACCCAAAAAGAATAGGGTAAATTACATGTTTAATATCTAAGTTATTAATTTTGATTTGTTTTAGTACTTAAACTTTCAAAAATTTTAAAACTATACCTAATGTTAATTTTTTGTTTCATTTTAGTATCTCATCGTCTAAAACATAACACGTTTGTACCAAAACTATCAGTTTTAGTCCATTTTTGTACCCAAGCTTTCAATTTTGTTTTCAAAACTTAACATTAAGTTATTAACATGGGTACTAAAATTAAACAAAAACTAAAACAAACAAAAATTGATGGTTTAGGTACTAAACGCGTAATTTATCTAAAAATATTAAACAAAAATTGAAAGTTTAGGTACTGAAACAAACAAAAATTAATGGTTTAGGTACTAACGCATAATTTATCCAAAAGAATATTATTTGCCCTCTCTCCCGATGTATTCAGTTTAACCTACAAATTTGACACACACCTGATTATCCGAACTGATTTACAAGATCTGAGATTGAATATAGACCCGACAGGATGACCCAAAATTGATCAAAAATTTGAAATAATCCGACTTGAATCAAAACTTACCTGAATTTTTGTTAGATCGAAAGAAACCTGAACCAAAAGTAACTCAAATCGAAAGTAACCCGAATTTATTTTACTAATATATGATTCGAACCAAACGCTGACCCGATTTTGAGTCTAAATGAATCATTTATTTATTTATTATTATGATCTACTTTTAGCATTAATGAATAGTAAAATGGTGTAGGCTTTATTATCATTTTATATTATACTACTTAACCACCATTTTTAGTAATAGTTTAATGTTTTAGTAATCTTTCCTCACTTAAAAGACAATATATATATTTGATGAAATAAATTATAGCTCTGAATTTGAACTGTGAGAATATATATTTACGTAAAATTCTTGATTTTAAAGATTTATTGATTCAATTAATTAACCAAAAATTTCTAGCTCTAAATTTGAGATGTGATAATATATTCACATAAAATTATTGAATTATAAGTAATAAAGAGAAGCATCGAAAGTTATGACGATAAATAGCAACAATGACTTACCTGAAAATCTAAAGGTTGATCCAAAAATCTAAAGTTGACCCGATAATATAATGGTCGGCCCAAACCGATATCAACCAACTTGATTGACCAGACTTGAAATCAACCGATACGATATTAACCTGAACTGAAAATCAACTGATTTGATTTTGACCCGACTCGAACCGAATATTCATAGACCCGAACTAAACCCGAATCAGATATGATTCAACTTGAACCGAATCTAATCCGAAATAGTCAAGACCCAAAATGTCTGATCCAAAATAACCTGATCCGAATGATGTGATTGTCCCCTCTAAATATGTTTATGCCAAAAATCTAAAAGAAAGAGAGAAAACAAAGAGTGCAGAAACAGAGAAGAGAGGGCTCGCTCTTGGTCTTGGTGTACAAAGGGAAAGCATTAAACTACTACTAATCCCAACTGTTTTCCACCATCCACAACAATTCATAAAGAACGATATCTTTGCTTAGAAAATGTGAAGAAAAAAACCAGAAACAAAATCTGGGTATTTGCGGGTTTGAAGAGAAAAGAAGAGGAAGAAAGGCCGTTGAGTATTTTCTGAGATTGTAATGATATTTAAATAGAACTTTAATGGCTGTGGTTTTTGAAGCTAAAAAAATTACAAATCACTTGATCTAGTACTCTTTCATGGACATTGCCTCCGTTCCATGTAAAGTTAGAGTTATGATCAAGAAGATTACCCCATGCATACTCTGCAACAAGATGCATAATGTACTTAGATTTCTTCATTAAGGGTGAGCATGCATTGAGCAAGAATGCGACCTACATTGATTAAACATTAATTCAAGGTCTTTGGGTGGTTGATATATTATATATTGTGATAGAATATCTATAATTCCATCTAAGTATGAAACTCTCATGGGGCCTCAATAATAACTCTAATATAAATTGTTAATATTTTAAAATTTAATAATTAAAATAGATACAAGCATATACTAGAGAGAGAGGAGAGGGTAGTGTCAGTGTCATCAAACCTCCTTTAAATGCACAGCCTTCCCTCCCCAGCAAACATTCATTTCATGGGGGAACATTCATTACCCTGCCTTTCTTCTTCCCATAGAATCTTTTGAACTTCACAAACCCTAAATATAATATATTACTTGGAGAAGAAAGATCTCTCTCTCTCTCTCTCTTCTCCAACCAACATTAAATTTCGCCATTTTAAAAAGTATATATTTATGGGTTTAATTGACAAAAGCTGATTACGATGAAGTTTCTACGACCTTTTTCTAATATATGGATTTTATATATAGGGTTTGGAGTAGTAGTGCTCTTAAGGGCATTTAGGACTTTTACTTGGAGTCATCTTCATCCTCTGAACCCTAAATGTAAAATAAAATGCAAATGTACTAATTACACCTTGTAAATCTGTATGCTAATTAATATATATTGGAAAGGTGCAGTGTCCCAAGCCACGAGAAAACGTGTTGGCCCTGTAAGACAGGCATCCTCTTTGAGACGCATTTAAGTCTATAAAAACCAGACGTTGAAATCATATTAACCGTCCGATCATCTCGTGTCACTCTCGTTTTTTTTTCATATCATGCTACGTTTTAGGGTTCGTTTGGTTCACGGAATGTAATATTACCAGTGAGAATAAAAGATTACTAGGGAATAGGATTACTGGAAATGTTGTATTTTGTGTTTGATTGGTTTAGCAGGAATGTAAGATTATCGTGTTTGGTTAAAGAAATAAAAGATTATTAGAATGTATATTTGATCAAATTGTCCTTATTATATATTTGTATAATATTACAAATTGTAAAATATTTATATATTTTCTTTAAAAAATTAAATTCATAATATTTATATAATTTTTTTTACAAAATTAAAAATATAAAAAAAATTTAATGAAAGGGTAAAAATTTTTTAACCCCTGAACTTCATATAAAATTTTAATTATAGATTTTTTTTTAAATCTAAAATAATTTAAGGATAAATTTGTAATTTAACATTCGTAGAATTTTTATTATTCAATGACAGAAGAAGGATATTTTTGAAAAAAAATAAAAATTTAAGGGCATTTTAGTCCAAAACGCCGGTAATGTTACAATACCTAAGGGAATGGAGGTAATGACATTCCTGGTAATATACCCCAAAAAAAAATCTACTATTGGTAATAAAACATTACCGGGAATAAGATTCTCGACCAACGAAACATGGGAATGTGGACAATCCTTGAACCAAACACCCCTTTAGAGAATGATAATCTTCTCATCAACATGTAACAAGATAATCACCTTATTAATCACTGTACCATATGTTAAGATAACGGATCTAAAAATTTAAAAATAAGATGTAAAATTTTAAATTTTTTCTTAAATATAATGGTTATGTAAAAAAATACTTTTTATTTTCCTTAATATATTAAACTAAATTTAACTATTTTCTTAAAATAATAGGATGTACTTTCCTCCCATGAAACTTAGTGCATCCGCCTGCCCTACGCCCTAAGTCAAAACCCTAGTTATGGTGATATTTCATTTTCAGGGTTTCATCTCTTTCCATGGTGGATATCGTCGTTTATATTTATTGAT